CAGCAGTGCTGCTGCTTCTTCGAACTAAGATCTTCAGACAAAAAGAAATGGTGCATTTATTACAGGTAGGTTTTCATTTTAACCAGACTGCCCAGTTTCCAACCCACAGTTCTAAAGGAAGCAAACAATAATAACAAAAGATTGAATGCTTTCCATTGGAAGAATGTGTGTTCACAAATTACTATAATTTAATTATATATTACGCAGGATATGAAACTTTAATTTATATCCTCTACTTTGTCAAATAATGTTCAATTAAACTGACCTACTAAGAAGGGATGACGGATTATTTGAAAGTAAGTTAGAGTTCTATTTGCTGCTTTAGTAGGGCACGTACACAGTAAAGGCAGATCTGCAGGCCCAAGTTTACCCACGAACAGTGAGCAGGCTGATGGAGAAGGTGGAAACCCCACCCAGGCTTGTAAGGGCCCACTCAGTGCCTACCTAGTTAAATGTGCAACTCCGTCCCTAAGCACTGCTCAACACTGAATCTTGTGTTAAATATAAAGGCTTTAAGAAACTGGGAGGCAGGGCCAGAAGGTGGCATAGTGGTTAAGGTGGCTGGACTCTGACATAGCCAATCATGGTTTGAGTCCTGGACCTGGCAGCTTGAAACTCATGCCAGGTATGTGTGCATGCATGCTCAAAATCCAGAGAGGAGAATGGAGGAGAAGGGATGGCAGCGTGGCTTCCCCCATGGCAGGGGTGGGGGTTCTTGCTAAGTCTCTCTGAAAGGTATCAGAAGAAAGTGTTTAACTAAATTGGCTCACAGTTACAAGAGAACTCTTGTTAAGCAGGCAGTCGACATGAAGTGGTAGAGAAAAGGCAAGAGAAGATTCAAACAGGAAGTGCTAAGTAGAATCAGTAAGTTCTACGCGCAGGAAAAGAAACTGATTCTAAAGACCAGCAAGTGGTGTGATGGTTAAGGCCCTGGACTCTCACACGACTGATCACAGGTCAAGCCCCAGACCTGGTGGCTTGAAAATCATGCTGGGTGCATGTGCGAGTGTGCCCAAATTCTCAGGAGGAGAACGGAGGAGAAGGGACTGCCTTCTCACCCTGGGGGGTGATTTCTCACTTTCCCAACCTTCGTCTCTCCCTGGTAAGTACATGAGTCCTATGGCAAAAACCTAAGAAAGAAAAGAAAAAGAAAATAAAGAAGCTGATTCTAGCTGGCCATGCAGAGTAGCCAAGCAAAGAAGCAAAAAGACAAGAGGAAACGCAAACCAGCTACCAGCCAGCTGCAGGTGGGCCTTTTGACCTAATAGTGATGCAATGAGCAACTACATGTTTCAGACAAGACTTTACTGTGGTGAGGAACTAGAAGGGTAAGTCTGGCAATTGCCTGTGGGAAGAAAACTGCTATAGGACTGTTAGGACGATTCAGGAATGAGGGTCATCGCTTTTAATGAAGAAAAATAGAAAAATAACAGAAAAGATAAATGAAAAAATGCTACCGAATGACAGGCAAGACTGAATCAGCTGTACATGGGAGTGGAAGAAAATTAAGTCACCAAAGGGTAGGAGTCTGGGGAGCGGTGAGAATGACAGTCATGGAAGGAAGAAGAAAGGTAAGAAGGAAGGACCAGACAACCCTGAGAGTTTCTGACATCTAAATTTTTATCTTTGGACTGAATATCCAGAGAAAAGTTCTATGAAAGGGGGAAAAAAAAGAAAAAACAAAACAGAATGGTGACGTAGAGAATAAAACCAAGAATAAAGAGAAAATTTAAGGTTCTTTGCAGTATATTTTTAAAATACCCTATACCACTCAAGAAGCCAACTACAGGAATGAATTTTAAATAAATAAAACGGGGGGATCATGATATAGAATCAAAAGAAATAATATTAAGCTTAAAAAGAGTAGGCTACAAATAAAGTATTTAATACACAAAGACAGTATTATAAAAAACTTTTGAGGCTAGGAGCTAGCAGGTTGATTAAGGTGCTGGATTCCCACATGGCCAATTGCAGTTTGAGTCCTGGACCTGGTGGCTTGCTTTCTCAGTTGTGCCCTATAACAAATTAAAAAATACTACGACTAATAAAACTAAACAAATAAATAATTTTAAAAAGTATTACATAGCCTTAAAGAAGGATGGTAGCTATGTATTGGTACCTATATCTAAGAGGAAATATACTCAAGGTATTTTCTAACTGAAAGCAGAATGTGGGTTTTCCTGCATCTGAGTGCATGAGAGACAAAATACCCTCAAGCTATAAAACTAAATTCTATAATAAATGCTTTAATTGCAATTTGGGATTTATAAGAAGTGAGGAAATAAAAAAATTAAAAAAAAAACAAACCACAATTCTAAGAGATCCACGTGTTCTCCTCAACAGAGAGCAGAAACCCTGGCAGTGAAATGAGCCTATCGTCAGGTCCAGTTCAACGTTACCGTGGCTGGTGGTCCATGGACCAGGACTCCAGCATTACAGCAGCACACCTTCACTCATGGGAGAAGCAAACATACATGTTGGCTTGTTGAAATTGTACTGATTATGGGGCCAGCAGTTCACATAGTGATTAAGGCACTGAACCCACTTGGCTGACCACAGTTTGAGTCCTGGCCCTGATGGCTTGAAATTCATGCCGGGTATGTGTGGGTGCATGCCCAAAATCCCAAGAGGAGAAAGGACTTCTGCATGACCATTCCTGTTGGGGGTGATTTTGTGCTTTCTGTCTGTTTCTCTGGTAAACACATGTTCCCCTAGCAAAAATCTCTAAGAAAGAAAGAAAGCAATTGCACCAATTTTGACACCTAGGTTTTCCAAAGATAAGATCAGCCAGCTAGGAACTCACCAAATCAAAGATCACCAAACACCAAAAGAAATAAATCATCATGCATATGAATTTTGGAAAAAATATCAGATCTAGACACCCCCAGGTATTTCACATAATCTGATTTAAAAATTTAGAATGGCAATTCTATTAAAGGAATTAAAGATGACAAGCACAAAAATGAGCAAGCAATAAGATCATTAGAATTTTTTTTTTTGAGAGGTTTGGTTTTTGCTTAGGGCACATGCACTTGCCAGAAAGAGAGGGGGAGAGAGAGAGAGAAAGAGAGAGGGAGAAAGAAAGTGAGAAATTGCCTCCTGGGGTGATGGCCATGCTGCAATCCCTTCTCCTCCATTCTCCTCTCAGGATCTTGGGCATGTACACATACGTGCCCAGCGTGAGTTCAAGCCACCAGGTCCGGGACTCGAAATGCAGTCAACGACATGGGAGTTCAGTGACATACCTATCATGCCAACTGCTGGTCCCTAGATTACTACAAATTATCATATGATAAATCTAAAAGGAATAAATTTGAACTCATGAAAATAAAAATGTATGATTGTTAAACTAAAAAACTCTATGAAAGCAGAGTAAACAATTATCAAATTGATAAAAGACAGAGCTGGTGACATGTAAGGGCCAGGGAAGACAGGAAATATAAAGAGAGCTTAAAAGATTCGTAAAAGGGGCCAGCAGGTAGCATGGTGGATAAAGTACTGGACTCCCACATGGCCAATCACAGTTTAGGTCCCAGACTGCCCTGAAACTCACTCTGGGTACATGCATGTGTGTGCCCAAAACTCTGAGAGGAGAACGGAGAAGAAGGGGTTGTGGTATGGCCATCCTTCTTGCTTTCTGTCACTTTCGCAAGTGTATACGCCTTATAGCAAAACTCTGCCCCTCCTCCAAATAAGACACTGAAGATAGAATGAGGAAATTTAATATATTTCTACCCAGTAGTCCAGAAGGAAAGAAAAGGCAGAATAAAAAAGATGCAATATTGAGTCAGCAGGTGGTATGGATGTTAAGACCCTAGATCCCACATGGTCAACTGTGCGCTTCAAGTCCCAGACTCAAAAGTTTGAAAATCACACCAGGCACATATGTGTGCATGCCCCAAATCCTGAAAGTAAACTGGAGGAGGATGGGTTGCGGCATAGCCATCCCATCTGGAGGGTGATTTCTCATTTTCTCTCTCCCTTTCTCTGATGAGCACACGTACACTACAGCAAAACTTAAAAAAATAATAATAATATTTGAAGAAATGGTTACCAAAACTTTTCTAGAATGAGAGAAAACAGACATTCATAGATATGTGCAAGGCACACATAATTCCCAAGAGAAACCTGCACCTAGACATACTACAATGAAACTGAAAGACCAGACAAAGAACAGCATGGACCTACAAGAAGAAATTTTGTCAATAGCAACAATAGAAGAAAACAAAATAGTAGAAAAATAGCTTCCATTAGAAGGGGAGAGCAAAGGGAGGAAGACAGTAAGGGAAAAATAATAATGAAGACACTGCAGACCCAGGCAAGGTGGTGCAAGCAGGAAAGGGCTGGTGCTCAAGAGTGGGAGCCACATGGGAGGCCCAGGTTTGGAGGCTGAAGCAACCTCAGCTGGCCAGGTGCAGGAGTGTGCACCTGTCATTCCAGTTAATGGAGAGGTAGGACAGAGGATCGTAACAGCAAGACCCTGTCAAAACTCTCTCCTTCCTCCTCCTAGTCCCTCTCTCTTGGGTGGGATGGCAAATGGAGGGATGAAATTGGATCTCTGCTTAACTCCATAAACAAGAATCAATTCCAGATGGATGAAAGACTTAAATGTGTAGAGCATAACTAGAACACTTAAAGAATAAATGTAAGGTTTTTATTTCTACATAGTTCAAAATTTTTTAATTTCCATAAAACCCGACCCACAAAAATGATAATGCAGAATACCCACATAAAGAACTTCTGTTTATCAAAGATGCCACTGAGAAAGTAAAAATATAAGGCACATACTAAAAGGGCATATGTGAAGAAAAATGACAAAAGACATCTGTGGACATTTCACATACGAACACGAATGGCCAATTCACGTATAGAAATGTGTTAAGTCTTACTAGTAATCTGATACATGTAAAATAAGAGATTGCACTTTCACCTATTTGACTCATAAAAATGTAGAACTCTGACAGCAGAAAGTGTCGGCAAGGGTGGTGATGAGTGGCTACTCTTTACCTTATTGGCAGAGATAGAAGTGGGTGCACCCACTCTGGAAACCAGGTGTTACTTCGTGAAAAAGAACATTCTTCTATTCCATGACTCGTTCCTTACTTCTTAGCCACCATTAAGAAAACCTTGGGAACTAGCAGTTAGCGTAATGGCTATGTCACTGGACTCCCACGTAGTTGACTGTGGTTCGCGTCCCGGACCTGGTGGCTTAAAACTCACACCGGGTGCGTGTGCGTGCGTGCCCAAGATCCCGAGAGGAGAATGGAGGAGAAGGGATTGCGGCGTGACCATCCCCCCGGGGGGTGATTTCTCACTTTCTGTCTCTATGTCTCTCTCTCTGTCTGGCGAGCGCACGTGCCCTATAGCGGAAAAACCTCTCAAAAAAAAAAAAAAGAAAGAAAACCTTAAAGGGCCAGCAGGTGGTATAGCAGTTACGGTGCTGGACTCCCACATGGCCAACAGCACTTTAAGTCCTGGACCTGCTTGAAACTCATGTCAGGCATGTGTCCGTGCATGCCTAAAATCCCAGCAGGAGAATGGAGGAGAAGGGACTGAGGTGTGGCCATCCCCCTGGGGGCTGATTTCTCACTTTCTGTCTCTGTCTCTCCAGCCAGTGTATGTGCCCTATAGCAAAAATCTCTCTAAAAAAAAAGAAAGCATTAAACATGCAGCTTTTGAAACAAACACAAGAATGTACATTAAAAGAAAAAGCTGGGACCAATTTAAATGTCCATCAACAAGAGGATAGAAAAATAAAGCGTGGAGCATTCACAGTGCGGTAGCACACAGTAAAACTTGGTGCACTGCGCTACATGCCATGATGTAGACACATTTCACAAATACATAACTGAGTGAATACAGTAACAATACTGGTATAAAATGCTTCATTAAAAAAACTTTATGAAAGTATTCAAAAATAAGAAAAAACAATCTATTGTTTGGTGATACACAAACTAAACAGAGCAAAGCAAGGGAATAAAAAACACAGAGCCAAGATAATACCACTGTCTGAGGGGAGGTGGCAGAAGAAGGGGTCAAAGAGGGAACGAGAGGTCGAGGTAACAACGACAGAAGTATTCTCCCTCTTTTTTTTTTTTTTTAATCACTTAATTATTTAAATAAAAAGAATTTTACTTTCCACCACTGTGTATCACTATAGCACACCAATGACTTTCCCCATCATGAGTACACTGTATATAGTCTAGTCAAAGACATTACCATACACATTATCATCAACAAATATTATTCCATTTTTATGTCCCATAAATGTGTTGCTTCTTTCTTTTTTCCCCTTGATTCTTTCCCTCTCACCCTCTCCCATTTCCCAGCCTCTACCCACACTCTCTAAAGACTGGAATGTATCAAATATTCTCACTCTTAAGTTGGGCAGTGAGTTTATGGGTATTCATTTCACTGTTGAAAAATACAAGAAGGACCAGCAGGTAGCATAGTAGTTAAGCCACTAGACTCCCACATGGCCATCCATGGTTCAGGTCCTGGACCAAGCAACTTAAAAATCACACCAGGCATGTGTGCATGTATCATGCCCAAAATCTCAGGAAGAAAATGGAGAAGAACTTACAGCATGGCCATCTCCACTGTCTCTCTGTGTCTCTCTCCAGCAAGCACACACACCCTATGGCAAAAAACATTAACAGAAACAAACAAAAACCCAACACATGGGTTTGCCCATTAGTCCAGTGGTTAAAGGAACCCATATTCCACATGGCTGACTACAGCATGACCACGCCCCACTGGGGACACTTTCTTCTTCTCTCTTTCTTCTCTCTTACTCTCTCTCTCTCTCTCTCTCTCTCTCTGGTAAGCACATGTGTTCTTTGGCAATTAAAAAAAGGAAAAGAAAAAAGCTTATGCATACATAAGCTGGTATATGCTCTGTTTAAAAATAAAGAAACAAGAAACTTAACACTGGTTATCTTCTAGACAGGGAAGAGTAGGGTGAGGCTGCCCCTTTTTACTTAATATCTTTCTGTGATATTTGAGTTTTCTACAAATATACTACGAAATCTTCAAAAATCTCATGATAAATAAGTATTATAAAAAACTATGCACAGATTTAAAAGTTTTTTGCACTAAAATAAACTCATACTTTAATTTTATTTTCCATTAAAGTTTTTTATTTTTTTCTTACTGCACATGCACGAGAGAGAATTCTCCAGTGGAGTGTGGTCATGCTGCACTCTCCTGCATTTCTCCTTCTCATCATTTCTCCTTTCCATCATAATTCTGACATGCATACACATGCATTTAACATGTTTTTCAACCTACTTGGGTTAGGATTTGAACCACAGCTGGTCATGCGGAATCTGGCTCTGTATCATAAGGCTTACCCATTGTGTTATAGGGTCGCCCCCTCCCCAAACAACTTTCTGAAGACCTTGTACACTACATTGTTTTAAATGAAGAAATAGGAGTTATGTGCCTAAATAGGTTATGGACTAAATTTTTTTAAAAATTAATTTTATTGGGACAGCAGATGGCGTAATGGCTATGTCACTGAACTCCCATGTAGTCCACCATGGTTCGAGTCCCAGACCTGGTGGCTTAAATTCACGGCGGGTGCGTGTGCATGTGTGCCCAAGATCCCAACAGCAGAACAGAGGAGAAGAAACTGAGGCATGGCCAACCCCCCCTTGTTTTCTGTCTCTGTCTTTCTGGGAAGTGCACATGCTCTATAGCAAAAACCTCTCCAAAAAAAAGAAAAAATAAGAATTTCATTACTTGAGGGTATCTATTCTTACAAGAGAAGGATAGAGAAAGAGAAAGACAAAGAGAAAGAGAGAGAATCCCCAATAGGGCATGGCCATGCCACAATCCTTTATCCTCCACTTCTCCATCTCATCAGGATCTTGGACAAGCACACACAAGCACCGACTGTGCTTCCCGAGCCACCAGGACTGAGGTTGGAACCATGGTCAGCCACACGGTCAGCTGTAGGGAACCCGGCTTTCTATGCACAGCATGTACAGGCTGTGCTATTGGGCCAGGCCTACTTTAATTCTCTTTCATATGTGTGTGTGTGTGTGTGTATATATATATATATTTTTAAACAATAAAATGATATTTTACATTTAAAAAACAAACAAACAAAAAAACCATAAATGTCTTCCTGAATACTTACCTATCTCGTGAGTATTTAGGTTGTTCCCTAAAACAATGTCAGGAACAGGGAATGCAGGTTTAAGGCAAGGACACCTGCTTCTACCGCCATGTACAGACCAGGCAGTAAATCCCATTTTCCTATTAACCTTTCCCCCTATTTCTATAACGTGACTAGAATTTGACACAGAAAGGAAGCAAAAGCTTAAAAGATCTCAAAGTCATTTGGGCCTGTAACCTGACTACATGTGAAAAAATATTTTTAAGTATCACAGTTATAACAAATGTATTTATTGTACGGTGATTTATATAGTTATATATTTTTTAAATAACAAACGGACATGGTTTGAAAGTATCTTACCGTTATTCCTTCATGTTCTCTCTTCATATGTCCTTTGTTCTCTGGAATAGTCTTGGGCTCTGATGAACTCAAATTCTGGGCATTTTCTACCTTCTGACCTACAAATTTGGAGGAAAAAATTGACAGAAGGAAATGTTTCAGATAATGAAAATGGAATGGTACCCTAAGATACGTGGAAGTGGGAATTAGAGGGCTGGCAAACTGGCAGCTACAGGTCAAGTCCACACTGCTGACCAGGCCTCTGGCCCCGGAGGGCTTTGAAGAGCATGGACTGAGTGCTGTTTGCTGCGGCTGTTCCAACAGGTCCACGCAGTGCTTTATGTTAGCACTGGGGAGGGTGACAAGGGCCCCGAGGGCCTTGTGGAAAGCTGCTCAAGCAGTCGCTGGGGTTGGCCACAGCAGTCGACAGGAGGGAGAGAGCAGGAAGGTGACTCAATATTGCTTAGAGTGAAGACTGATGAAGGAAAGCACAAATCACCAGGGTTCAGTAATAATAATTTTAGAAAGGGGGAGCAGCACCACAAAGTCTACAAACACTAAGTAAATAAATAAATAAATAAGATCTTACGAACAACCTAGGGCCAATAAATATGAAAATATATAAATTGAGTATCTAGAAAAAAATTCACCAAAATCAAAATAAGAAAAGGAAAATCCGAGTATTCCTCAACTTCTTTTTTTGAAAGTTAAAAAAATACAATTAAATAAAAAATGTATTCATTGTGTAGAACATGTTGATTTAAAATATGTATACATTTTGGAGTGGCTAAATTGCGATAATTAACATATACATTACCGGACATACTTATTTTTCTGTGATGAGAACATTTTAAACCTACACTCAGTAATTTTCAAGAATATAATATGTTATTAACTATAGTCACCACATTGTACAATGAACTCCTTGAATTTATTCCTTCTATCTAACTGAAGCTTTGTTAAAATTTGAATATTCTGAGGACCAGCATTTGGTACAGTGATTGAGAGACTGGGCTCCCATATGGCCAACCCCAGTTCAAGTCCAGGACCTGGAGGTTTGAAAATCACACCAGGCATGTGTGTGTGCATGCCCAGAATCCCAAGAGGAGAGTGGAGAAGGGACCAGCAGTTAGCATAATGGCTATTTTGCTGGACTCCCATGTAGTCGACCACGGTTCGCGTCCCGGACCTGGTGGCGTGGAACTCATGCCAGGCACAAGTGCATGCGTGCCCAAGATCCCGAGAGGAGAAGGGATTGTGGTGTGGCCATCCCCCCTGGGGGGTGATTTCTCGCTTTCTGTCTCTCTGTCTTTCTCTGTCTGTCTGGTGAGCGTACACGCCCTATAGTGATAAAACCTCTCCAAAAAAAAAAAAAAAAAAAGAGGAGAGTGGAGGAGAAGGGATTGCCACATAGCCATCCCACCTAGGGGGGTGATTTCTCATTTTCCCTCCCTTTGTCTCTGTCTCTCTTTCTCTGGCAGGTGTACGTACCCTGTGGCAGGAAAAAAAAAAAACCCAACTTAAAAAAAATGAACATATTTTAAAATCACATCAAGAAAATTCTAGGTAACTGATAGATTCTAACCTATATTGAAGAAAAAAAAAAATCTATACAAAACCTTTCAAAAAGTAGAAAATCTTTCAGATTTTCTCCAAGTATTTTTCATTGCATTTCCTTATTTCAAGAGGCCTTCTAAGAGAGAATACTTTCCTACTTATTGGATGAGACTAGCAAGATCTTAACATTGAAAAGATATGAGATAACTTGTTGATAAATATGATGGGCTTATTTCTTAGTTAACTCATGACACTAAGATGAAGGATAAATTGCTATTGACACTGGACACGCTTTAAACATCTGCTTTCTCTGAAGTTCAAAGTCCACTGCTCACGGGTCGAGCCATCTGCCTCTGCTCTCCCTGCCCGTTTTCTCTGAAGGTTCTTGGAGCAACCATAGACTGATGCCATTAACAGTTACCATTTTTGGGAACCAGCAGTTAGCGTAATGGCTATGTCGCTGGAATTCCACGTAGTCGACCGCTGTTCGCGTCCGGGACCCGGTGGCTTAAAACTCACGCCGGGTGTGTGTGCGTGCGTGCCCAAGATCCCAAAAGGAGAATGGAAGAGAAGGGATTGCGGGGTGACCATCCCCAATGGGGGGCGATTTCTCGCTTTCTGTCTCTCTGTCTCTCTCTGTCTGTCTGGCGAGCGCACGTGCCCTATAGCGAAAAACCTCTCAAAAACAAACAAACAAACAAAAATAAACCAAAAAAAACAAAAACAAAAACAAAAACAGTTACCATTTTCGACCTAGGCAGAGTCTGCATACGACTGATACATTTTTTCACAAGTCTGGGCAGCTTCCCATTTTCATTTTCACTTGAAACTCTCTCCACAGCCGTCCTCCTGCACACTCACCCTGTGCCCTCCCACTACTGAACTCGCTGCTCTTCCTGTGCTTGTACCACTCTCTGCCTTCCTCCTGCTTCTGTGCCCACCCACTACTGAACTCGCTGCTCTTACTGTGCTTGTACCACTCTCTGCCTTCCTCCTGCTTCAGCCACTTTGGACTTCCTCCTAGCCCTCCAACATGCCAGACTTGAAAAAAGTGAAATATATATTGCAATAGTGAAAAAATTTCATTGGCAGAAATCACAAATTTGCAATAAATTAAAAAGTAAATTCCTTAGAAATAAATATATGTAGAATGAATGTAGAAAGCAATACTACAGGGCTGTTGGAAAAGTCATGACACAATTCTGCATAGAAAAACAGAAAACATACGCCACGACTTTCCTGACAACCCAATATATGTAGCTTTTTCCTCCTCCTGCCAGAATCTGTAGTTCTGTATTTTTTAAAGTTTTATTCGTGAGGGAGTATATATATATGCATGCAAAGGGTGGGGGTGGGGGTAGGGAGGCACGCACTCTAATAGGGTCTGGCTACACGGTGATTCCCCTTCCTTTAACACTCCAGCTCTCAGGATCCTGGGCACATGTGCGTGCACCCAGCATGCTTCAGGTCAACCGGGCTAAGGATTCGAACTCAAGATCAGCCACATGGCTTCAAACACTGCAGTCCAGTATGCTAAGGACTGCTCTGCAGAGGTTCTGCATTAATAACGAAGATACTGTACCCTGAGAAGACTCCGAGCCCAGTGGCTCAGTGATGTCAGATGTGCTGCTGCTCCGAAGGACCGGGTGCTGCCCCACCATGAGATGACCAGATCCCACGGCAGGTGTGTTTTCTGACTGCTGGCATTCCTCCACTTCTGCAAGCATCAGCACAAAACACACAGGTCAAGATGTTGGAAAACACTTTCACCATTTAAAGAATTTGTTTTTTTAAAAAGTTTCTTTTTGCAAAAATTTGGCAGTAATAAAACATGCATTTACGTCACTGAGTTCCCTCTACTTGTCCACGCTAATGCTCCAGTCCACGAGTACACTTTTCTCTTACATTCTGTAATACCTTCCGTTTTTCAGTCAAAGGAAAAAAATAGAAAACCATGAAAATGGCTGAAAACTGTGAAAGTCATTTGGAATTTCAAGGGCAGGCAGGCCAGGGAAAG